ATCCGTCTTATCTCTCGCTACTTATACTTCCCTTTATACTCCTACCCTCCTTTCTATACCTCTTTTTAGCTCCTTATTCCTTCTTCTATACTAAGTATTTTTAGCTTCCTTAGTCCTTTATATTAAGGGATATCTCCGAGAACTACGAAATTAGGCTACGCTTCGCGATAAATATAGGCCTAGACCTAAACTAGTTAACTAGTCCTTAAACTAGACTATAACCTTAAGATTCGAAACTAAAGGAGGGCTCTTAGGAAAACCTAATTATTATTAACCTTACCTATTAGCTTTAAGCGGTACTAACTAATAACTAAGGTAGGATATATCTTTCCTAGGAAATATAAAACTAGATCCTATTTACTTAGGATAAAGGGCTTAAAGATAAGGATACTACTACCGATATAAGAAAAGAAATTAAAGAGATAAAAGATAAGATCTTATTTATTCTTAATATAATAAAAGCGGAACCTATAGGGCTAAGTAGTTTACTTATAATACTAAGGAACTAGCTAACTATAAGAGTAGCGCTATAAACCGATATAATAGATCTAATAAAACCGTCTTAGTTTATATATACTTAGATATCTATCTTTAAAACGAAAGGCCTAAACTAACTATTAAATATATATATAGACTTTAGTATAGCCCGCTTTATAATTAAGGAAGACTAGCTTAACTACTTTAATAATATAACCCTTAATATAACCTAGTAAGTTCTATAATTTAGTATAAGGAAAAGCTAAACTAAGGGTTAGGCGACCTTAATAATTAATATTATAGGGAAATAAAGAATAGGATTTAAAGCTAGGTAATTTACTATTAGCGCCTAGGTAGTCTAGACCTTATTTATAAGATTACTACTTAAATAAGATTTCTTAGTACTAAATAAAGTTAATATCTTAAACTTTAAGGGAATAATATTTATTAGCTTATATAGTAACTTAATAATTATAGCTCGCTTAACTTAATAAGGCTATATAATCTATTATTAGGTTATATACTAAGCTAATATCGACGTCCTTATATAGAGGATAGAACGATTATTAATATAAATTAAGGATATACTAAGAGATTATAACTTAGTATTTCTTTTAAGAGACCTATTATTAGCCTATAACTTAATCTAAGGTATAACTTTAGTTATAGCGGTTAATACTACCGCTTACTATATTAGATTTTTATAAGAAGGTATAAGCAATAAGTATAAAATCAGGTAATTAATAATATAAGCGGAAGGTTCGGTCGAAGGAGTATAGGGTAGGATTTCGTCCGGAATTTGTAACGAGCATATAAGGGCCTAAATAATATATTAAAAGAATAGCGTTATAAAGGATACTTATAAACTTACTTATTCTATCTACTACTCCTAGGGAAATCCTTTGTCTTTTATAGACTATTACTCGCCTACTAGTAGACTAATTAGTTAGCCTTCTAGTACCTTCTATAGTACCTAAAAAGCTCTATCTATAGCATGTCTTCCTAACTTAGTAGATAGTCTAATTATAACGTAATGGTTAACGTAAGACTATAGGTTCTAGTATAAGTAGTATATTTAACTAGAATGTTCTATGCCCTACCTATTCTCGTATCGCGGATATCTTTAGAACCGCTAGGCTAAAATAAGTAATAGGGTATCCGTTCTGCTCGTAATTAGCTTAAGCATTTTATATATATTTTATTTTATTAGGATAGGCTTATCTTAACCCGCTTTTCCTAAAGGAAGGTATAGATATCTAGTAGAGGTCTTTATCTTTAAGGGTTATTCCCTTAAACTATATTATAAAGCCTCTTTTTACTAGCTTATTTTACTTATTATTTCTTTATAATAGTAAAATAGGAATATAAGGGTATATTCTTATAATTTTAAAAAGGATAGTACTTATAAATACTAATAGACCTTAGCAACGAAATATAGTTTTTATTAATCGACCTACCTAGGGAAACCCTAGCTAGGGTAACTCCGATTAAAGAGCTAGCTATAAAGAAAACTATAGAATATAGCGAACTATACTAAGATACTAACCTATTAATAAAAACCCTAGAAAAAGGGAGCTATAAGTCTATTAAAGGGGAACTCTCTTTATAAATATATAGATAGACTCCGAACTATAAGATTAGGATTTTATAAGACTATAGCCTCTTAGAGATAACTACTTTTATAAGGAATAGTGTTTTCCTATTATAAATAAAGTAGCTATAATATACTCTCTTAATTATATAAGCTAATAAGTAGTATATTAATTATAAATAAAGTCCTATCCTATAGAGTAAGGATCGCTCGTTATTTTATATATTATTATATATTAAACGGGTTACTAGTTATCGTATAATCGGGAATCGAAAGAATAGAGCTAGCCTAGAATACTAGCTAAGACCTCTTAAGAATACCGGTATAACTAACCTCCTTTAAATATAAATACTAGTAGAACTAAGATACTTTTAAATATACTTAAAGTATTACTAAATTGTTTAGTCTTAGGGCTATATAGTAGCTTAAGTCTAGTTACGAAAGGTTCTTCCGTTTAGCTATAATTATCTATATAAGATAGTATATCTACTAGTAAATAAAGATAGAATTATTAACTTTAATACCTCTTTTATATACTAATATACTACTAATAAATTTTATTTAAAATCCTACTTTATACTCCTTCTTCCCCCTTATTATATAGTCTTATATAATTCCTTAATTTCCTAAAATTCTACTTTTACTTATATACCTTAAGAGGTTATAAGCCTAGCTTACTCTTTTTAAGCTAGGAAGTTAACTTATACCTTATAAAGGAATATATATTATAGTATAATTAGTTAGGTAGTAAAGATAGCTAGAGGTACTACGCTATATATATTATATTCTCTTTATTATAAGACTAAAGCTTATAAGAAGAGGGATTCTTCCTCTTCTATTAAAATAGTAAGTAGTCTATAATATATAAGCGGGGTAGATATAATTCCCTACTAATACCCTACCGATATATTAGTACTATATACCTAAGTGCTTTATTAGCTTATACCTCTTAGTAGCGCTCTTATAATTATCTCCCCTCTTATATAAACGTTTTAGCTATATCTTAAATATATATTACTTTTACTATACTATATATATTTAGTTAAGAAGAAAGGTAGTTTTAGTTATATATCGCGTATATACGCTTATATAAGTATATATTAGTTTATACTCTATAACGTTAATAGTTATTATATTAGCGGTTATTACTAAGTAACTATTATAGTATCGCCTATATATTAGCCGTATAACTATAATATAAAGAGTATATATATATATCTCTTACTTCTTATATTTTCTTTTCTTCTTTAACTCTTTTACTTATAATTACTATAGAGTTTTATACCTTTTTTTATTAATCCCTTATACCTTTTTTTATTACTTTTTATCGATAATTTATTAATAATAATACCTTTTATACTAAAGAAGATAAAGAACTATAACGCCGATTTCCTACGCTATATATAAAAGTAAGTAGCGGCGGGTTTACCCTTAAAGTATAAGCGATTAGCCTAAAAGTCTTATAGCAATATTAGTTCCCCCTTAGCGAAGAAAGCTAAGAAAGGTATAAGGGAATCCTAGTCTTAAGAGACTTTTAGTCTAGGACCTAACGTTAGTAAGGGTTATACCCCTATTACCTTATTAAATACTTTAACTCTAACTATTAATAAGCCTACCTTTATAGGCTAGGAAACTTATAAGTCTATTACCCTTATTAGTAATATTAATACTAGCGAGGAGATCGTACTTAGGCGCTCTTAAGTAAGTACCAATAACCTAGCTACTTTATCTTAATAAGGCGGCTTTAGCTAATAAGAGATTATCGCTTAGGCCGCTCTTTAAAATAGGTAGGCCGATATTAATAATAAGGCCTAGCTAAATAAGGGCTAAGACTATCTTAATACCTAGCTAAATAAGGGCTAAGATAATAATAATAGTAATAATAAAAACGGCTATAATCTAACTCCTTTTACTAATAAACCTAAGAATAGCGACGCTAGAAATAAAGGCACCTAAGCGGCGGTATAAGGCGGTCGCGCTCCTATAAAAAAGCATACTTAATTTAAAGCTAAAGCCCGCTTAATTAAGGCCTAAGGGGTTATCCTTTATAAGCTTTAGTATATATATTATTTTAAGATAGTCGTTAAGGAGTATAGTATAACTAAGCCTAAGCTTATTAAGGTACTCTTAATTAGCTATATTTTCTTAGGGGTTTCCTTAATACGCTATAAGTAGTACTATAAATATACTACGACCTATAACTAAGTAAGTTTCCCCTTAACTTTAAATATTATAATTAATAAGCTAATCTTTCTTAAGGCTAATACTCTTATATTTAATAACTAAGCTAATATAGTCGCTATTATTAAGTACCTATATAAGCTTAATAAGCTAAAGACTAGTAATAAGGATACTAAGGATAATAGCTTAGATATAAGCATACTTATTTTTAAGGAGGCTAATCGGCGCTATCTTACTATTATAGTATAGTATTTAGCTAAGGCTTTTAACGCCGCTAAGATAGCTTATTATAAGTCCTTTAAGACTATAAGTATATAAAAGTTTACTCCTATAAACTATGAGACGGCGGATTTACCACCCGTTTGGACGGTCTCTGCCACCAAAGGTGGCGGCCAATTTGCCAGGAATCCAGAGCGAGAACGGACAAATGTATCGCCGGGCTCATCCCTCCAAGTATCTCCGATGTACTTGGCATGTCACCCATCATGCTCAGCCCGCAGAGCCACGTCGGGACGCCTCCGCGGCCCGTTTAAGCTGTGTGCCTTTCCGACATCTCTTTCTAGCCTCAAAGAAGGAGCCACAAAGCGCTCAGAACGGTGGCGTCGCATAGGTCATACTTAAGCTCTTACTCCGCCTCAAATTTTGGTAGCATCTTACCTATTACACAACCAAGCATTACTGTGGAAACTCTTTCCTCTTGCCAGCTCACGGAAAGCCGCATCCCGCTGACTTATACGATCCATTGTCAACCATGACGCGCCGAGCACGCCATTCCGCCATCTCTTACGACTCGGACGCGTCTTACTCCCCCCAGAACGAATTTGACGATGGTGGTCTCTTTGACAAAGTTGAGCCCCTTCACTCGGATACGTATGCGGAGGCAACGGATGTAGAGGACTTGAACTTCAATGACGCAGACGGATTCGTCGACGCTGACGTTGAAGACCAAGTCCAGCTCTTCGGTGGCAACGTTCATCCACCTGAGTACTACCGGGAAGCCGTTGAGAAATTCAACGAGACCGCCTACGAAGCTCAAGACTATAGCGACGGTAGTCTACTGCTCCTCGATGCCTGCGACGCACAATGGCGCCAGTACGTCACCAACGACATCATGTCCCTTATGACTCCCAGCCTCTAACATGTAATGGTCCTACCCTCAGGTACTGCGAGGTGCTGGGTTGTGACCCCCAAAAATGTTTGGAGTCTGTCTCCGAGTCCAGCTCCCTGCGGCTTTTGTATAATTTTTTTGACTGGTCCCTCAACCAGAAGGTCGGTAAGGATGGCAGGAAAAGGCGAGGAACGAGGAAGAGCAGCTCTTTGAGCACATACTGGAAAGTCTTCCGACTCGTCTTCGAGAGAGCCACTGGAGACAAACTCGACCCGAAACTAAATCGGCGTATGCACAAGGTACAGCCCGATCCCTCCGAATAATAGGTCAAAAGGTAACCCTGCAGGTTCTCCGAGACCTCTCCAAAAAACATGACTTGAGCGACCAGAGGCGAGCGAATCGATGCATGACGATCGAAGATCTCAAGGAGCAAATCGAAACGACAATTAGCACGACAAAAATCGTTCAGGCTTGGGGAACTTCGGATCCTTGCTGTTCTCTTTCTCCTTCTTCTTGCACCCGCTGGAGCTCGCCCCACATCCATCCTGCGTCTCCGGTTTGGAGACATCCGGCTCGCACTGGTGAAAGACCCAGAAGGTGGACCGCATAATATTTTGATTCGCTTCACCTTAGCCTTCACGAAAACGTACCTCGGTGTCAAAGATGCGTAAGGACGCCAGAAACGCCGTGCTTCATCTGCTCGTAGGATATGGCACTGACGCGAATCTAGGAAAACATTTCCTCTTCCAGAGACCTTGGCCGACCCTTCCTTGCTACTCAATCCTCACATCTTCCTGCTAGGCATTCTTTTCCGCCATCGCGCGTTCCGAGCAACAAGTCTCAATTCACCCGCACAGCTTGCCAATCTTGATATCCACCCTGAGGAGCGGGAGCTACCTCTGCCGCTCAAGGACGATCTAAAAGACACATATATATTCCGACGGGCTATGAAAACCTTTATCGGCTATGAGCTATCCCAGGACAAGCCTCTTTCTTACCAGATGATTGCACAATGGATCAGAAGGGTTGGCGAAATATTGGGGTTGGAATACCCCACCATCCCCTACAACTTGCGTTATAATGCGGCCAATGAGTTCGATCGAAGTGGTTCGTCAAGTCCTCCAATCACGATAGCCTTGTTGCTTACTCCAGCTTCAGCCGATATCAGCGAGTCGCTGCGAAATCTTGCTCTAGATCACGCCAATTCGAATCCCTTTCAGAAGCACTACCTGGGACGGGAGGTTTGCGCGGATACTTGGGGTATTCTCCGGCGACAAAACCACAGCAGGCGCTCATAAGGCAGGCCTGCAGCGTCGGCCACTCTATCAGCAAGCGGAGACCCACGGATCTCACAGCTGAACAAATAGCATCCGTGTCTACTGATCCTATCATCAAGCGACTAGAGCAAGACCTTCGGCATCATCGCCCAGGTTCAAAGAAGCACATGGAACTCCGCCGTCGACTGAGGAACGAGAAGCAAAGATTGAAGAGGGTGCTTAAGCAGAAGATTCGAGATGAATGGACTGCCAGACAGGCGGTGGACGACATTGAGGGGCAATTGCAAGGTATTGGGTTTGTCAAACAAGCGACTGTGAACACTCCCATTTGTCCTCAGCGACCGGCTCAAAAGCGATTGGTTGAGGCCCTCGCCGCTCCACTTGGCAACACGCTCGAAGGTCAATATCGACGGAGAGACAATGCTATCGCCGCCATCGTAGCTTATTGTATGGTCGAGGAAGGGCAGACGATCCGCGGCGCTCGAGCGTCGGTCGACTCAACTAGGCCTACTCTCATGAACGAACCGCCTATCAACAGCCCTCAACACACGGCTCTGATGTCCACCTTCATTAAGACAGTCACGGACAGGCCTCGAAGATGCTTCATCTGTGTCGGCAAGGCCCTTGATTTGACATCAGATGATTTTACACTCCTGGAGACCTGTCCAAGCACTTCCGACGCAAGCACTTGTCGAATTTACGCGAGGGCGATGAGATTAGATGTTCGATCTGCGATTTGCCACTGGACCATATGGAGCATCTGCGGAACCATGCTCTACGAATACACGGAACAGTGTCCTAAGCTATGCCTTTTGACCAATCGAAGTTGTTGGTCTGCAAGGTAGCAAATCGAATGTATCGCTTGGTATCTCCACGGTCAACCTGCATCGCGCGAAATCTATGTGTGTGGCTAAAGCAGTCACCTTGTTCTCAACCAGACTTCCCTAATCAGGAGAATATCCTTTCTTTTTAGTATGAGACAAGGAGAACTTACGTTCCTCGAGCTTCAGCCTTCTAGTTGACGTCCATTTTCGCGCGGTGGTGATAGAGGAACTTTTGCGGTGGAAGTGTTCCAATCGTTCTTACGAGGAATGTCGGAGTGTTAGGCTATTAGGTGTTATCAAGGACCACCTGAAAGATCATTATAAGGCCATGTATCAGGACCTATAGTGACCTCACGTGTATGGCTAATTTGGTGCCCATGGAAGTTACCCAACGGCATAAATAGGACCGTTGGGCCGCACCTTTCTAGATCTTCATAACAACTTGTGTACTTGGCTCCTACCTCTTCCAATTTGTATTGGCGTAATCGTCGTTAAACATTAATTCTGTCTTTCGCTTGAACGGCCGTCGGGCCACCTAAAAATCCACACCTAGATAAAAGGCGTACATGATCGAGCGTCCAGCGTCCTTTGCAACAAACCAATTGTCAAGGACAACCACGTGGGCGGCATCGTATCGGCTCTCAGTCGCGGGAAGTGCATCGATCGTCAATGTGACTAGAACACAACGTAACTAAGGAACGAGCATTCTTGAAAAACGTCAATTTGCTCCTCGAATGTTTGCCTGCTCATTACTTCTTACGGCATGATGGAGGTCAATTGGGCTATCGTGGTGCCTTTAACAGTTACCTAGGGGAGGCACGCAGCTATCTTACCTTTTCCCAGCAAGCTAGCGAGCAACCAGTCTGCCATGAAGGGCTGGCCGCGAGAATCCTCCCGAAGCTTCAGGATACACGCTCCTCAGATCTATTCCAGCCGCGCGACAAAGCAATCATGGTCTACCCTTGAAAGTTCACACTCTATTGTATTTCCATTAGCACCACCTGATCCACCTTGAGTAAGTACGTGCCGAACCTGAGCAGGGACTGAGCTACCCTGAGCAGGGGCTGAGCTACCCTGATCTGCCCTGAGCTGCCTGAGCCGCCTGAGCCTGTCCTGAGCTGCCCTGAGCTGCCCTGGGTTGCCCGCTCCGGCGTGTGGAGCATCGAATAAGCCACTGCCAAGCGGTTGAACGAACATTGTACAGCCGCTGCATTTTTTCGCTGCCGCAATACTTGTGATATCCTGGCTTACACGCGTCGCCAAGTTGTAGCGTATTTAGGAATCTGGTGTACCAGTCTACGCTTCACAGTCTTCGATGCTGCGCGAAATACATATCGTGTAATTTTTTCCGGCCCTTCCATAATCTGCAGATACTCCCCTCTCATGCTCTTTGAACTCTTCAAATAACAAAAATTCGAGATGCGAAATTACAGTATCACGCATCGAGGAGAAAATAACTTACCAGTTGGCAGTTGCTTGCCGTAGGTACATCACAAGGCTTTGACCGTACCGTACTTGCGTTCTGGCGAAAGGTTTCTACCGCCCTGTCAAGATCAAGACGCTCATTCACGGTGCTGCCTAAAAGGCAGCAAGCAGTTCGTAATGCCATATTAGTGATGGATTCGAACCTTCTAGGTGACATCGTCATCTATGCTGTGTGATGGGTTCTAATAGTGTAAATTACAGCTATGTAGTCCTCGTGCGTTTTACATTCGAGCTGAGGAAAGAAGAAGGAAAGGAAAATAGAATGACAGAAATCCTCCAACAAAATAGACTAAGCCGTTACTGGAGCAACAGTGCTTAGACCGACAAGGCACTGCCTTGTCCAGCAGGGCCTAGCCCGTTACATGCTGCCTAGGTGGCGACATCGCCACTCAGCCCAAAATTCCAAGTATAAGAAGCCAACTTTTCACCATCACTTAGATAGAGAATCAAGAGTCTTTCGTTGCCCGATACACAGGGATCTTCTTCCCGATCGTTGTTCAGTCATCCACACCAACCGTGCCCCTTGTTGTGTGACCCTGTCTCTTACGATCTGTGACTGACTGACTCACTCTGTTCCGTCCCGCAGGTCCTAACGGCCATCAGGTGCACAGCCTCTGATGCAGCTTGGCGTCACTTGACCAATCATACGCGCAGCCCAGAGTTATTGATGTTCTAAGCTCCAGTTCTCATTGGTCAAAATCGCTTCTACTAAGAGGACAAGATGACGCCATCCAGACGTGCGCCGTCTCTCGAAACATGCATGAAGTTTGTGCAAAAGCCCCCTGCCCGGCTGAATTCTGCCTCCTCCTGGTAAAAGACCAGCTCAAACGGAAATAATACTGTAGTGTACACTATGTTACATAGTAAGCCAGTCAGGACAATAAAGGAGCACTTCGGCGCTCATTAGCTCCACAGGAGTATGAACTACTCGCGCATGTCCACGACCGTTACCCACCAGACTTACCTGAGCCTGCTTTTGCCCAATCTAGACGCTATATTCTTGGCTCGGCGGGCGGAGAGCCGGAAAAGCCTATGTCGCAGAAGAAACGAAAAATGTCTTAACCTTCTTCTGGGCGTAGTTCACAAGCACGTTTCAGATCAACAGACAGTGTTGGAGCCCGCCAAAAGCGGCAATTCTGGAGGTTGGGGTAGGTAAATAGCCCCTTGCCGCACCTCGAACGTCATCATCGCGGTTTGTGCCCATGTACCTGGAAGTAGTGTCGCTGAAATGCGCCCAAAAAGGACGCGGTTTGGTGACGCAAGTTGTGGCCCCTGACCATTCTCTCGCATACGTCTCTGAGAGCGCGGGCGGAAGGATAAGGGCAGGCACAATTGAGTCCAAACGATGATGCATGTTTTCTATCTATCTGTGCGACATTGAGGGGGTATTTATACGAATAGATACCAATCTGGGACCCGTGGTGGCCCTGAATCAGTGCCAATTCCCGTGTATCCCGATTAGGGCAATGTTCCCCTACTGTATCGATACCTGACTCAAGTCCTTGTGTCTGACCTGCCTCTTTCACCGGAGTTTATACGTGTGCGGATTAGACCGTCAGTCTGCTCCCTCTGACACACCCCCTTTGCCTTGGTCTCACTGGGTGAGTGAGGCAAACAAGCAAAAGAGACAGGCGAATCATCCAATCTTATCAAATGTCCAGCGAGTGAGGCTATTACCGTTGAGGGAGATGCTCTTCATGATGTCTTCCTTGGTGTTGTGACCAGGAGCATTTTAACAAGTCAATACCAGCAAAATGATGGGTCCATCCCGGGCCTGGGTGATGCTCGGAGAGCATCTATATCTCTTTCTGGGTGGTGATACTGTCGAAACTGTCCTCCGGCGCATCGGCTTCAATTGGTGCCACCGGTCTCCCTTGCATCCCTAGCTGCTTGACAAAAGCTTCGTGCTTTTGCTGGGGAAGAGCCTTTGTCATTCCATCAGCGGGATTCTCCGTAGACTTGATCCATGTGATCTGGAGTCTTTCTTCCTGAACCTCCTGTCGAAGCCAGTGACGATGGATATCGATGTGCTTAAGGTTCGTCTTGAGCTTCGCGCTTAGTTCAGTCAGGAGCCTGATGGTCTGCAGGTTATCGCACCATAGCTCATTGGTGCCTTCTACCTTGATGTCAAGTTCTTTAATTAGCCGGGAAAATTGCATTTGCTCCTTCGCCGCGCTTGACAGGGCCAGCAATTCGGCCTCTGTGGACGACGTCGTCACAGTCGCTTGTTTCGTAGCCTTCCAGTCAACGGGTCCGCCTAGAAACAAGAAGACATAACCCTGTGAGGATTTTCGAGTCTCCGGGTTGTCTGCAAAGGATGAATCAGAAGCGCAGAGGAACCTGCGTTCAGCTTCTTTGACTGAGAAGCAGATGCAGCGATCTCTCGTGTGATAGAGGTATGCCAGGCATCTCCTGGCCTCTCTCCTATGCTTCGGGCCCGGGTTATGGCTGAATTGTGCCAGTTTTCCAACCGGGAACGCACCGTCGGGTCTGGTGTGAATCGCTGGGTGAAGAATTGAGCCAATTAGAGAGATATTGATGAACCTCGTCCCTAGTAGCCGTCTTCTCGTATGGCTTGAGCTCTTCGGTCGTTATCGGGACCTGGGGCACGCCAAGGATCTGATCATCGTCCTCAATGTGGAATTTCTTGGCCATCTTCGAGAGATACGAGGCTTGAGAGAGCCAAAGCTTCTTCTGGGCCCTATCCCTGATGACTTCAATCCTAGGAACCAGCGAAGTTCCCCATGTGGTTGATGGTATATTCCTTCATAATGGCAGCGTGAAGTTCTTCCCATTCGGCCTTCTTTTCTTTTGGATACATCATCACGATGTCATCCACAAAGAAGAAGATGATGACTCCTTTATAAGTCATCACGCAGGCATCTTCGACGAGTTGTTGAGCGCCCAGCTTCTTGAAGAAGCCAGAGCTCCTCAAACCACAGCCTTGGAGCGATTCGAAGCCCGTATAGTCCCTTGAGAAGCTTCAAGCATAGCCCAGGCTCAAGGTAGCCTGGTGGCATCTGGCAATAGATGGCATGCTTGAGCTTATTATACAGAAACGCTGTTTTCACATCGTACTGTTCTGTTTCAAGGTCTTCAAGGCAGCAGAGGGCCATTAGTACTCTAAAGGTTCTTGCTCGTAGTGTTGCCGCGTATGTGTCTTCGTTGTCTTCCGGCTGCTGGTCTCCACGGACCACAAGCCGGGCCTTGAAGCGGGTGACGTAGCCCTGCTCATCGAGTTTATACGCATATACCCATCGCAAAGGGATTATGAAGTGACCGGCTTCTTCAACCATCTTTCTAGCCACCTTGGTCCATGTTTCGAGCTTCATCTGGTCCTCTATTTCACGCCCCATCCCCATTATCCATTGGGGGGCGTATTCCGAAGCCATCGCGGCTTTAAAGGAGGTTGGCACAGGAGGCATATCCTCAACGTGAAGCCTGTGCTTCGAGGCATTAGCAATGATGTTATTGATGAAGGCCTTCTTCGGCTTCCTCTGTCTCTTGCCCTCAAGCACATTGGCGGGGTTTATCCTGAGACTTGTCCCTCGCTTTGCGGGGTCGTTTTCAGGTTGTGATTGTGACTCTGGGGTCGGGCTCTCCCCAACCCCCAGAGACAGCTCCTCGAATTCTGACCATTGTGGCTCGTCGAGCGCACCACCCCCCGGATCGACAGGTGGCTCATTCAATCCGTCTAGGATCGGCGTGCCTAGTGATACCTGAGGCTCCCGGTCGGTCCGCGTAGGGCTCGAGATAATGTTTAAGTTTTCCACCTCCGGGTCCTCACTCCCGTGGTGGGTGACCTCCTGCGGGGTCACGCTAGTGGTGACAGAGCTTGGTGGGGAGGGCGAGGTTTCTTCCTCCACCCTACTGTTTGAAGTGCTTGGAGGCGAAATATAGGCACTGTCCGTTGTAGTCCTCATCGAAGTCTTCAAATTCGGTGCTTCTTGTGTCGCCTCGTCTGCAGAGGGTGCCGCAATTGACTCCGAGGTGTACGGCGTCATACCGTCATCTGTCTCATCATCGGAGTAACTGCGCACTCCTGCTTCCTCTATGTCTTCGTCGTCAGGGACGTCTATCGCCACCATTTGACGAAGAACATCGTATGTATAGACCTGGACGGCTTCCGCGTCTTCTTCCCTCTTCGGATCGTACATTGTTGACTCATCAAATTGTACATTCGCCGAGACCATCAATTTGGTCTGGCGGATCGAGGGTATCCACACGACATATTGATGGGTCGATCTGTAGCCCACCAGGTAACCGATATGAGCTCTCTGCTCAAGCGGGGACTGCGTCTTATGTGACTTTACATGCTCCAACGCAGTGATTGTCATTGGGTAGGCCACACAGCCGAAGACACGCAGGTGATTTATGCTCGGCTGGACTCGCTTGATGTGGCCGTATAGAGGGTTGTGGTCCCTCATATAGGTCCACCATCGTTCGTGTGGGCTTCTCCAGCTATGATCAGATCCTTTAAGTGGCGTACGGTTGAGCAAATACACTGCTGTTCGGTAGGTCTCGGTCCAGAGCTCCTCCGGGAGGCGGAGTCCAGGTTCATAAGCCGGGCCCTTTCTTTGACCACGGCCCCGGACCTTTCTGCATGCCCATTCTGTGTGGGCGTGGATGGAGCTGACTGGAAGACCCGAATGCCCAATCCTTCGATGAATTTGACTAGCTCCTTTGTTAAAAGGGCTTTTTCTCCGTCAGTAGCCAGGTTGATCAGTTTTATCCCGTACTGGGTTTCTAGCATTGATGTCAGCTTCTTGAAGGCATCTCGGACCTCGGTTTTGCTCTTCAATGCGTAATAAAACCGCATCCTGGTCGTTATGCATGTGAAGAGCGCAAAGTACTTTTCACCCCCGAATCCGGCCACCGGGCCTGGGTGTAAGTCGAAGCTAAATTGAGCTCCGGCCCCTCTGGGTCGTAAAGTGGGCTCCTCACGGGAGACCAGCCTCTTTGCCTTGCCTGTTGCGCAGACCTCGCATTCACACGTGGCCGGTCCTTCCATCTTGGTTAGGTGGCTAAGGGTTCTGGCCCCGGATGTCCTAGCCGTCTGTGCCAAAGGTCTGCTTGCCCACCCATTGGTGGCTTAGGAGCCCTGCTTGTGACAAAGACGCTGTGTTGGGGCCGCTTTGAGAGGCTTGCAATAACGTATTGGTCTTCAATTTCTTGCAGACTGACCAGAGTGCGCCCTGTGGGCTCATGGTAGAGTGTGCCGTTAACCTGGTTCCAATAGATCTTCGCAACAATCCCTGACGAGCTGAGAACACACTTGTTGGCATCTCTGGGATGTAGTAGCTGCTCTCAAGCTTCAAATTGATCCCGTTTTTCACTGGGATAACGGCCATGCCTACCCCCTTGACTTGGAGGTTTTCTCCTGCCCGGACTTCTTCTGACGATCCCCAGGTGAAGGTATCCTCATCGAACCATCGTAGGTCGTTAAAGACATGTACGCTAGCCCTGAATCATAGATTGCCTTGTCCTCGAGAGAGTCTTCACTGTATTAGTGCTATGCACGTGCGACACTGTATTAGCCTGTTTGCTCGAGTTGTTGTTATTCTGCGGGACTGTGATGTCTTTGGCTTTTGGCTTCCACTCCATGGCTTTGGTCTTGTCCAAGGGGTTCTCCTTAAGGTGCTGGTTGATGGCCTCCTTAAGGTGGTCCCTGGGAATCCATCCTTCAGGGGGGTCTTTCTGGAACATCGCTCTAAAGGTCCAGCAGCTTTCCCACCACTCATCCTTTTTGACCCAGTGTTGCTTACATGCCGGGCACTTGTGTGACCCCTCTGGGCCGTTCCTAGTCCTCTGATCAGATGATCTTGGAGCGTTGTTTGCGTTGTTGACCCCTGGGGTCTTCTGAGGTTTCCCTTTCTTCCTGAATCCAACCTCCCTTTTAAAGTCGGCAATCAGGGTGCGCAAAGGGGTTGCTGGGAGTCCTGTTCTCTCCAGGAGTGCGTCCAGCAGCCTAATCGTCATGGGCCAGCTAGGGTCCCACTCTTCGGTCCCTTTGAGGAAGTCCTGACGAATCTTTGTGTCATTAATAGTCGAGACCGCTAGGTCTCTTGAATCCAGGATGACTTGGTCCAGCTGCTCTGCCCAAGCCTTCCAGTCCCGGGTTCCTTTCTTGTTGATGATTTGATGATACCTTTCATCGATAAGGTTCTTTTCTTCCTCCGCTGAGGGGAGAACCTTCTGTTTGAGTTCTTTGATCTTGTCCCGGGGCGTCAGCTGTATCAGGGTCTCGCCCTGGAGCCCCTCACTGATGGACTTCTTGATCACCTCCTCGATCTGCATCATGGCTTTTTCTCTAGCCTTGAAGCGGTCCAATTGATCCTGGAAGGTCTTCTCTTTGTACCTAAAGAGGTCCTTGGCATCTTGAAGCTTCTCATTGAAGTCTTCCCTTGCTGCCTTATACTTATTTTCTTCGTTGGGAAAGCTTCCTCGGTGGGGCCTCTGCCCTACCTTCTCGAGTAGCTCTTCCCAGCTAGGCCTCAGGGGCTCCTCGAGCACCACGGTCCCTTCTGGGTTAACGTACTCCCAGATGTGGTGCGTTTGAGCCCATGATTTGATACCCCTAGTCCATGGGGTCCAGTCAAGGCTTTCCTTGAGTGTGGTGATGTACACCTCCCCCTTCTGATATTGGGGGCCTAGTGTCATCGTGTGTTTTACCTCCTGCGAGGGATGCACGCGTCACGTTGACTTTGCGTAGTTGTGGGTGTTGCCCCCTGAATTTTGCTCTCTTCCTCGCGTCAACCCCAAGGGTGAAGGATATATGGTGCGTTGAGATTCGTGATAGCCTCACGGTTGGTAGAGGAATGCGAAGGATAAAGAGCACCGCAAACCGGGCTCATAACTCTCGAGACCCCACATCTCCCACCCTCGCCTTCACTCCTCTTCTCTCTAGCTCTACTTTAAAGTACTTCTGCACTATCCCGCTTCATCGCGCTCCAACCGAGCTGCTGCCACGAGACCCTCCACTACCACCTTCGGGGTTTCCCCCCTCCATATGCCTCTAAACGCAGCCATCTCAAGAAGAGGGCGTAGTGCCTGGTACAACGCAAAAATCTGGCAGAAAAAGTGCTAAGAGGTGGAAGCACACTGTGGCTGCGGCATAGCAGCTCGTAGAACGAAGACGTCAGGTCATTGCTGTGTACATATTGCAACCATCTCGAGAATGTCGGGTGAAGCAGAAGCGCGATTCGGCCGGCAGTGCAATTTCATGGTTAACTAATCCTTTCTGGGCTGTGGCGGCAGCCATCCGAGAACAGGTGGTAGGATTGATGATCTGCAGCAAAAGATGCAGGACGCTGCTGACCAACGATCTCCATGTGCAGGGCACCCTTCTTGAACGAATCATCACCTATGCATGGCCCTAAACCAGGACCCCTTTAATCGTTCTATGCGCGATATTTATCTTCCATGTGTCTAGCCGTATTAGGCAAGGGCGCCTCACACCTAGCGGTAACTTAGCTATGCGCGTTTCCTCTGGAAATGGCGCTGTCGTAAGTCACGATTGGTGAGGCGCACTTACACTATCGACAAACATGTCTGACATAACATAGAGGTGTCGCGAAGCCAGATACTTAGTGTCATCTGAATCATTAGACAGTAGCTCCAACTTTTCGTAACATAAGGCAAAGGCAATTGGCATCCAGAAAGTGAGGTTATCGCGAGATTTAATTACTATAACTAGTAACTTAGTAGTATTGATTACCGTTTGGGACATCTCCAAAAAAGCAAAAAGACGTGCTAGGCTAGAGAAGACTAGATACATAAAGTATCCTGAGTATCCGTACCTGGGGTTGCCTCGAGCTAGTGGCGGTGTGTCACACACAATACGAGTCATGGGTAAGCTTACAAGTGGGGGTCTAAAGACCCCCCGCCCTTGGGCTAATGATCGGCTGCAGTGATTTCGTGCTCGAACTACCCCTGCCAATTAGTTTGGGCCGCCACGACATGACGGGGGACAAAGACGAGACAAGGCAAGACAAAATGTGGCGCGACGTGACAGAAAGCGACCCACCTGCGCGCCATCGAGGTCGGCATGACGTCTGCGATGTTGTGTTGCAGCACGTCGGTGCTGTAGTGACCCAAACACCAAACCTTGTTCCCCTCTACTCCGAGCTCATGCAGACCAGGGCAACCATATGTACATACATATATACATACATAAATACAAGATATATATGCATGTACGTATGCACAAACATGCCTCGGGGCCGGCACGTTAAACCTTGCCATGGACAGCACGTGGCGATCGCGGCCCTGACCACCATCTCGCCGTGACGCCTAAGCCATGTTGTCTTGATACCTCAGGGTCTGACCTCGACTGGCCCCGGGCACGATAGGCGTACCTTACATAAGGAGGCGGTTCCTTTCCACGGGCCCCTACTGCACTTGGCAGCAAAGATAATGCCCCGTCGAATGCTGATACGAATGGCTTGTCAGAGGTGCCGCAAGAAACGAGCAAAGGTCAGTCGATAGCCCACCCGAAGCCAAAGCCCAAAGAGCCCCCAGTCGTCTGTCTCATCCCATATCCTGCCTAGCTGGATACTTTCACTGATTGGTTTCTCGCTCTCTAGTGTGATGATGGCCAGGCACCGTGCAAAAGATGCGACGAGGCCGGAGAAGGACGCGTATACGACCACCCGCGACGCAAGTCCAAAGTCGATCTACGGGCCGAGATCGATAGTCTACGGCGGTACAACGAGGAGCATGACCGACTACTCCGCGCAATATGTTCAATCAACGACGTCGAAGTCAGCAATGCCTTTATACAAGACTTGGTCGAGGGGACCAAGTCTCACCAAGCCATTCTGCAGGAGCTGGCGCACCTGAACGGTGAAAACGGGCGTGGCTCGTCAGATGGAGGTGAACAGGAATCATCGGCGGGCTCTTCCAGCTCCATTCTCGACGAAGCCGTCTGCCCGCACTGCCTGAGCCGACTGCCGTCGCCCACCATGCACCGTTCTGCCTCGGGCTCGAGCGACCTCAGCACACTGACCGAGGCTCCCAAGGCGACTTCGACACCGGCCCTGGCGGCTCCTGTTTCCCGTCATTGCCCTTTGACGATGCATCACACGCGCAAACCGACTGGTGGACGTGCGCCGGGTGTACGGTGGCTTCGGTTCGGCAGATCCTCGACGCCCTCCTCACCTGGGACTACCTCCCTTCTGCCTCATGTGCAAGGACCCCTTCTTCCGAGACTATTGCAGCGGCTCGAGCCGGTACTGCTCCTCTGCCCTGGTAAACGCGCTCATCGCGCTGGCAACCCGGGTGGTCCACGAGATCAGCGACGAAGCGGAGAGCCCGGGGCCTGGCTTCAAGTGCGGAAGCAAACCACTTTCGACAAGGCCGAGGCCATTATCCGCAGAACCGGCCCTCGGCCAACCTCCCAGATATACAGGCCATCGGGATTCTCTCGCTCTACCAGATTACCTGCGGGCGCGAGGCCGAAGCTCAAGCGCTTGCCGACTCCTTTGCCGCTAGGATAGTCAATCTTTGTCCTCAAGAGCCCCTGATGGGCTCCGAGGCCGAGAAATATGCCAAAGTTTGGGCTACTTCGTACCGCGGCGCCGTGTCCCTGATTCGGTCTGTAAACCGCTTGCAGCCCCTGTTCCCGACTCCTCCGAAGCATAAACTGATGGGATTCCGCACACAGCATACTTCGTCTCACGACGGGCCAAGTCTTCACCATGTCTACGAGTTGCAAGCTACAAGACGACTCAATATTTCTAGACCAATCCGCCTGCAGTGCCGAGTACCTGTTTGGCGGCCAGTGCGGCAGCGGAACTACACCAGGTGAATGCATCAAGTTAGGTATACCCAGGAATTGTATCCAATCAGGAGTCGCACCGTAACACGGCTGCAGACCCTGCCCTGAAAGCACGCGGCTCGCAACTGCGCAATCTACAGCTCATTCCAGCAAGAGTCTTCCAGCTCACGGAATGGGTGTACAAGCTCCTCTCATCAGCAACCCATACCCCAAACGGACGATTCGACACAGCCGAGGTCATGGCAGTGTATACCGAGTGTCTCGATTGGTACGAAGGATTCTTCTCCCTACCCAAAACCGGCGGCAGTGACACCCCCCTTTGAACTCTTTATCCAGTATGTACACAGACACAAGAACCCGGCTCACAGGACTCGGGAGGGGGGGCCGAGAGACACAGAGGGGAGAAGAGACAGCATCATCCGGCTGACTGCCCGCATGTAGCATGTACTATCAGTTCTGCCTACTCTGCCTGTTCCGCCCTCTCGCCAACCTTGTCCTGGCTGATTCCGACGTCCGACCCCGCGAAATCTGTCTCCAGGCTGCGGACTCTATCCTCACCCTGTCGCAGTCCTACAGCAGGCTCTTCACCCTTAGACGCGTCTCCCCATTCGTCCCCTATTTTGTTTGTGCCTCTGCCCTTGCATGGCTTACAATTGAGTCAACATGCAACTCTGTGGCCTTGGCTGGCTCGCAACCTTTCCAACCAAGAAAGTTGTCCTTGGCGACCATCTCGGATGTTTCAAGCGTGGACGGCTTTAGCACCTATCAAGACGTGTCCCCCTCCCCGACTGCCGCCAAAGTGCCCATAATGGCCCACGCGAGCCAATTGCTGGCAGAGATGAGCTCCAACCGTCGAATGGCCTCATCCATAGAGAAGATGCTTCGAGGATATCTTACCGAGTTATGGTGATGCAGAGTAGACTCGACAGAGTCTTGTTGTAACTTAACGGGTTCTCGCATCGGCCGGGGTCTTTGCGGGCGCGCTTCAGTACAAGTAGCAAGGCAATCGTGTCGCATTCAGGATGCGTATAATGAAATGCGCGGTTGATAAGCGATGTCATCGAACTTTCTAGATAACATTACAAAAGCACCCTGGGTGGCAAGTGGCAATTCGCCACCGCAAGGCAGTCATATTCCTCAGGACTATAAGGAGACAGAACTTCTCATTCATTTTAGATAGACGACAATGAACAGATTGACTCTTACCCTCATTTTATTGCGAGAAATCGCCTCACCGGGTTCGAACGCCGTTGGACAAGGCAGCCACAGTGCTTTTGCTCTCTTGCCAAACGCCGAATCTTGATAATTACCCACCCATTGCGTAAGTCTTCAATATGCATACACATATTTTCTAGTCCTGTTTTACGCGTTTGACTGTACTATGCCATGCACTGTCCGAATCCACCCTTCTCTTCGATGAATCGATGAAAATATTATCAGGGCTCGGAGCTCAACCGCTTCCCCATTTTCCTGTTGCCTCTGATCTGGGCTGGTGGCTTGAATGTCCAAAGAAACTGAATCGACGCTAGGAGATCGCCTTGATGTCCCAAGGCTTGATGACCCAAGCCAGTGCCTGTGACCTCGCAACCTCCTTAGCCAAGAATTTTCTTCCCTTCGCAATTGTCAGGTATCTCTGAGCATTTTTGAGCCATTCCTGCAGTTCGTCGAAGCTAGTGGTAGCAGTGAACGAGCGATCGCCATGTATCTTCAACACTCGTGGAAACCGTAGAGTATAGTACCGTGCATTTGCGGGCTTGTCGAAGCCAGATCCCACGAGTTCTACTATAAATGGATGCTGAAATAACGCCTTTGGGCGTAGTCCACGGTCGGGTCCAAGACCACGTCAAAATTTGGCGTGGACTCAATGAAGGGTATTTGTGTGAAATATCCATGTCGGTTGAGATATTGCATATGGTCTTTCGGGATGCCATGTTTGTCGATGATGTCGATGATGCGAAGTCTTGGCTTAGAATTATAACGGCAGACCTCATCTTTATTTTCCATGCATCCGATAAAAAACGACGTCCACCAGAGCTTGCCAATTCCAATCTCTTGTTCGTCCTCCGCGCTATGGTTGCCACCGACAATAGTGAAGTCGGCAGAGTCACCGAGGCCTGGAATGTAGTCTTTCTTGAGTTTGATGGATGACTTGTCGCAATCGGAGGTGAAGTAAGGGTCGTTGCAACCTTTCAGCACCAGTCCCTCCCACCGTTGTGTAATGGCTCGTGCGAATAGTTCAGTGAGCCGCTCAGCAGCATTGGCTGAGGAGAATGCAACCACTTCGCGGAACCCGACCTCGGCAAGACCAGGGATCCGGCGAACCAGAGACCGAAGTAGTCGTCGCCGCTTAGCATGGCTTTTTCTAGCGCAGACCGTGTCGTCCAGCAACAGAAGATCGTAGAACATAATCATGAGATGTTCATTCATATTGAATGGGGGGTCTTGGGCCGCTCCAAGGAGCCGTCCTGATCGTCTGACGTGTTTACGAATTTTGTGGAAGGGCTCGATTACCCTACTGTCGTCGTTCCATACCAGCAGCTCGCCCTCCAGTATGCATTGTTTCTTGATCCTGCAGCCTGCCGTGCCAAGGTCGAGGCTTTCTCGTAACGCGCGATGAAGGCCAATGCGGTCGATGGTAGAGTCCCTCCCACTCTTGGAGAATATTTTGATGCAGGCTCTGGTTTGCTTAAGTCAACATGAAGTTGACAGTATTCTCCATCGTATTTCCGCTCCACGCTCATTAGTCTTGAGCCAGCCAAGTGGCAGCAATGCTTGATGCTCCTTGCTTTCGCATAAGCTGGCCGTTCAATCATGACTCCAACCTGCGGCTGTAGGACTTTCCTCAACTCTTCCCAGGGATTTACCACGGCCTGTAGGGGTGTATTCCGGATCTCAAGTCCCCCTAGGATACTTACGGCAACTTGGATTGAATTCTGAAAACGGAGGAGATTCCACAAAAACGGATGAAATCTGCCCATCGCCAGTCTTTCTGGGACAGAGGCCGGATTGTAGTTTTTGGATAGCATGCGAACCAGCCATTTGGCCTCAAAGCTGTTTAATCTTCGGAACAAACTGATGAGCAGATCGTCCGAGCTGCTGCAGGGTTGACGGTATTTCCGCTCAGTTTCTTCTCGCAGATCAGCGGACGAGAAAGGTGAGAAGGCTGCAATCCGATCGAGCACATCGTCAAGTTCTTGCAGAGTCACTTTCGGACCCATCCTTGGTTCGCAGTCCGTTATAGCCATAACGCGCTCAACACAAGTTGCGAAGTCCGGGCCGTTCCTGGTTTGCCATATCTGTAGCTCCTTCATTCGGGACGATCCAAGACATTGTGCTTGTTGGACAATCCTTTCGAGCTGAATTTTTGATAAGCCGAAAACTCGGTCCGGCCTGCGTTCGGGAAAGAGGCATGACAAGAATGCCACGGCTTCTGACCCTAGACGTGGGATGGCTGTATCATGTTTGTCGAACCAGCCAACAAGACTGCGCACATCGAAGTCCTGGGTCTTCTGAATACTGAAAGACCTCGTGTGATTTCTTTCGAGTTCACTGAGGAGTTCACATAAGAGATGCAACGGAAATGGCATATTGGCTGAATATTTGTAGTCCAGGGCTGTTCAACCAGAGGATGGCGAATGTATGACGGAATGAGTCTTAGCACAAGCTCTGGGATGAGCGGAGGGAGTCGTAATCCAACTTATAAACGATGTCCTCCCTGCTCCATTTCCACTGAATCTATGGCCCTCGAGGCGAACTCAGACTTGTAGCATGCGGGTGGGTTGCTCCGTCTAATGACGACGTCGTGAATCTCGTCGCTGCGGCTGACAGCCCTTGCGACATAAGTACCCATTCTGCCTTGCCAAGTTATTTGTCGTGACTGGATTCGGCACCTCTAGTTCGAAGGTTAGGTGGGACTACTGACCTCGCAACGCAATAGCCATGAACGGCAAAACATGTTCACGGCTGGACGCTCGAATGCGACCTCCTTGGCATCCTGTGCCAACCCAAAACGGCTTCACGGCAACCGGCGCATGTATATTGTCACTTGATCTCTGCCCCAGCGCTATTTCCAGAAAGTAGTATCCCACTCGTATCTGCAACAAATGCTGCGTCTCGTTGCAAACCGTACAGTACGACTAGGCTCTAGCAGACTATTGTGATCCGTTGTACTCATACTTGACAAACCCGCCAATCCCTACACGCCTGATAGGGGTTGCAGAGCATCTCAAACATCTCGTCGTAACCGATGAGGAGATTCATTTCCTCAGCATATCCTGCCCTCGAAGGCTTCGGTCTCGTCATTCCATTGCAGCGTTATGGGAAAGTGGCTGCCGCCGTTAATCTCGACTTCAAGAAAAGAACGTCCGTCATCAGCGCAAAATGTACTCCTTCCAGCGTGGTATCGGCCCCGATTGTTTCAGACCTCCAGAGCCCTCCGGCCCCTCCACCATGCTCTCTTGGGCCTTTCAACGTATACTCATGGCGGGCACTCCCTTGGTTATTTCCGAGCCAGACCCGTGAGAGCTTGACTTTGTTCACTGTTTTCGCGGCTCCGCTCGCCCCCTCTGGGCAAGTCTTCCGATGCCTTCCACCGCTTCGGCGACGCGCGCGTGGTTCGTCATCCAGCGCCTGCTCTGCGGGCCCATGAGGTGGCTGGTCTCGCTGCTGCTGCGGGTCCTGTTTGGCATGCCGTTTGCGATCCTTGGTGCTGTGGCACTCCTGACAGACGGGTTTGGTATTGGCAAGTTGAGCTTCTAAGGCGCCGAGACGAGAGCTGATGTCGGCCAGCTGATTTCGAATTTCGCAGTGCTCGTTGTAGCAAAGGTCTCTGATCTTGCGGTCCGTCACAGCAAAGAGGCTGCCACATGTACAAGTAGTGCTCGCAGCGGCAGTTTCATTACAGCCGACATGATCGATTCCACTGTCTGCTGGCATGTGGCAGGATTTAAGTGCCTCGTTCACATAGGCAAGTTCTTCCAATTCGATGTGACCTTCGAAAACGGGATCACGACTGGAGTCGTCGACATTGTATTCGCGAATATATTTCGGCCCGGATTGACCCGGAAACGGTGTGATACGAGACGCAAATCCAGAAGCCCAAGCCATTCTCCGTCCGGCGTATCTGGCTACCATCTAGAGGCTAGCTCTAGACCGCGCCGTCACGTCGCAATTCATCGCCGAGCAGACCTTTGAGCTGGCAGCCCTCCACCCGCCGCACTGACTGCTGTCCACGACTGGCTCGCCGCCATACCGCCGTAGGCTCCGCCTAGCAAGCCTCCGGGCCGAGAGATGTACGATGAGGTGACAATGTGCTCCAATCAGAAGCGTCTGCGGCTTTGTGAAGCGGTATCAATCTGACTGATGATGAATCAGTGGATGAAGTCGTTTCCCAGACGTGGCGGCCGGTCTATGGTCCAATGGCCTGCGTGCTCCTCTGCACCCATGCCAGTATCGAGAGATACTTGCCCCGTTAGGGCCAACAGGCGTAATGAAGAGGCGATCATTCAGTGCGAGATAGCACGTATAATGGAACTTGTAAAGGCAAATATTGCTCCCGCTGATCGGTTGGAAAGCTCTATAGCCCCGCCAGGCAGTCATTGTAACGCCTCCCATGTCTCCGCTTGTAGTGGAAACGCAGCTGGGCTCGCGCGAGGTGTCATCGTCGTTCGCCGGTGAATACAACTGCCTGACGCTTGCTGGTTTGTGCGAGGCTTTCGTCCTGTGAGAGCTTTCAAGCTTAGATGGGCTCGTGCCCTCGGGTTGTCAGCCTGAGTATCGACACCGCTTTCGAAGTCGTCGTTATTGTCGTTGTCATTGCCTCATTTTCTGGGAAGCGATACTTCTGGCAGGGGTCGGCCAGGCAGGGGGACTCTGCTCGCAGGGACTTGGCTGGCCGCGGTTGTGATTGTG